CATACGCATAACGGTTTTTGGTATATTTTAAGTTTCGGTCGTTTGCGTTGAAAAGTTTTGTTTTGTCAATGAAAATAGAATTATAATGCTTTATTTCGCGTTATAAACATGTTTTATAATCGATGTTTCTTTTTCTATTATAATATACAAATTATAATTAGTAAATATTAAGTAAAGTAAAACACATAAAAAAACGAAATTTTGAAATGAGAGTAAAGTGTGAATTCATAAAGTGAAAATCAATTTCCAATAGTATTTTCTGTAAAATGTGTCAGTAAAGTGAAAATACGTATTATAAGAATTTGTAAAGTGAGTAAAGAGAACTAATTTCGCTTAGACTAAATATTTTCTGAAACATTTTTAAAGTGACTAAAGAGTGAATTCGTAAAGCAAGTAAAGTGAAAATACATAATTTAGTAAAATGAACATTTGTAATGTGGGATTTCGTAAAATGAGAATTAATTTCCTATAGACTAAATATTTTCTGTAAAATGAGTAAGTACGTAATATAAAAAATTTGAATATTTTTCTCATTTTATTTTTTAAATTAAAACAAATTTCGCACTTAAAAAAATCGAAATTTTGTAAAGTGAAAATTCGTAATGATTTACGAGTAAAGTGTGAATTCGTAAAGTGAGAACCAATTTCCCATAGACTAAATATTTTCTGAAAATTTTGTAAAATGAATCAAGTGAAATTACACATTAAGTAAAAAATTTTCATTGACTAAACATTTGTAATACTATAAATTAATTAATTCTCAGAAATGAATACGAAAAGTGAAAAGTTAATACAATTAGTAAAAGCATGAATTTGTTTTCTGTGTCTCTTTAAAGATAAGAATTTAGTTAATCTTTTACATTTTTAATTTAATAATTAATTCCATTGAAAACTTTCTCTTGTGGTCATGATTTGACGTGATTTGCGCGCTTTTGTCGAGTCACCTTAAGCCATTTCTTAAATCGATATTATTTTAACGAACAAATCGGGTATCAAACATCAACATTTATCCTATTATACTTACTAAGCATTAATTTAGTAAATCAATCATAAAAATTAAAACTACTACATTTCAATTCAAATTTACAATAAAAACATATTGTGAAATATATTTCCTGTCCTCATAAAAATGAAACAATTACACACCGCTTCATTGCAAATAACAATTTTCGATTGTCATCGACCTAGAAATTACCACTGCAGACATAAATTGCGATGAAATGAGCTTCGTTTTCATAATTAGTTAATAAACTGCGCATGTTTCTGCGGCCGTAATTAGTTTTGCGGACTGACGTTAATTATTTGAAAATAAAAACTCACTACGTCGATTTTTTTCTGTATTTTGCGCAGTTTAATAAACCGATCCAATTCGAGAATTAACGCAATTTACTTTATCAATTGCAATCTACCGAACACGCATTTCGCGTGTAATTACTGAACCAATAATCTGCGCAACAATTTAACCAACATTAATTTACACTTATGTAACTCGAAGTTTGTTTAAATTGTAAAATAATTATTTATTGTTAATTTCTACTTGTACTGTTATAGAAAATTACAGATGAAACTCTACGCAATTTTGCACGTAAGTTGAAATTGTCGTAAGTCGAATTCCATAAAAGGAAATGATAAAAACATTTATTTTCACTCATATATGAACATTAATTTCTGAACTTTTAATTGTACCTACATACAAAATTGCGAAATAGAATGCAACTTTATTCGTAAGTCGAAATTGTCGTAAGTCGTATAAATGACAAATAGTGTAATTGTAAAGCTTGTAATTAGTTTTCGAGTTATTAACGAAAATCCAGTTTTTTAGTAAATCCTATTCTTTTTTTTTCAATTTCTACAGCTCATAGCAGGCGAGTCGGCGGTAGTACGAAGATGCCAGTAGGCTCATTAGAAAGGTGAGATATTCAGCTTTCATACGAGTTATCGGTGATGTAATTGTCTTAAGGAGTTGTCGAGAAATTCACGAGAAACTGAAAAAAAATAGAAAAAAACGTCGTTTCTCTGTTACGTAACGAACGTTACGTAACTTTTGTTAAATAAATCCTTAAGGATGGAACTTTTGTACGTAAGTCGAATTCAATAAAAGGAAATGATAAAAATGAAATGATAAAAACATTTATATACACAAATATATGTTAACTCGAAGTTCTCTTAGTTAAATTAATAATTATTTCTCATTAATTTCTGAACTTTCAACAACAAAATTGCGAAATGCAACGCTCTGGAACTTTATTCGTTACTCGAAATAGTCATAAGTTGAAGAATCGACAAATATCGTAATTTTATTCAAAATATGTTCATTACACTTTCACTTAATTCAATATTGTGCTGCGGTTCAGACATTCGAAACAATTGTTATGAAAGAACTGCATTTTTAATTCTTATTTGATTCGCGGTTGAAAAACAAACATTCGTAAAAACATGTTTGTTTCATTCTGACCAAAATAACAAACAAACAAACAAAAAGGAGGAAACGTGTGCTCATAAATATATGCGTTTTCATTTGCAGCCGCGGTTGGAACTGGGCCATCAGCTGCAGTATACATACATATATATATATATAAAATATTAAAAATTCCCTTTATAAAACGCGCGCTCGTAATTAGTTAAAAGTTAATTAACAATAAGCGAGAGAATAACGAACGTGGCTCGCAATTACCGCTACTCATTTCGGTGAACTCTTTATACTTGCGTTACACTAGTTTCCTTCCTCAAAAGAGATGCACGCGTATTAACATAATGCAGTTTTCTCAATTTTCATATCCTTGATGCACTTCACTCAATTGCATGATAGTTGTTTAAACCATTCATTCATTAATATTTATACTAATTACAAAGAGTTGTTTCATTCATTATTAATGAAGTACTTCTGGAACTAGTTCCGTTCCAAAGGGTTGTTCGTAAGTCGAATGTGTTCGTAAGTCGAGAGATTGATTAACAATTCAATTTTATATATAATTTATGTATTAAAGTGTTTTGTTTTTGTGGATGTACCGAATCTTTAACAACGTTTTATTTATTTTGTACAGTGTACGTGCGTGTACTTCACGCCTTCGTTCCTTGAATCCTTTTTTTTTTTTGGTCTTTTGATTCCGGGTCGCGCGCTTCGGGTATTCCCAAATGGCTGCATTTTCCCGGGTGCTCAGGTCCGCCCATTTTACACTTTAGAACACTGTACTGCAAATTGTGTTTCCGCTTTGCGCTCGGGAAAACCTCTGGGAAAAAAACGGGCTCTGCATCAAAAGTAACCGCTTTTTAATGAAACATCACAGTAATACCTACATGCACTACTTATTTTCATTACTTTATTTCTTGTAATTATTATTTCTTTATATATTCAAATTACCTATTTAATAATTCAGAATTATTTTAGTAAAAAAAAATCAATTAACAAAATTCAATTAATGTTTTTAAAATCAAATATTACTTAGTCTCTTAAGAAGCAATAAAAATTTGCTAAATATCTTCGAAATTGCTTTAAAAAATAATTGTAATTAAATTGAACAATAGAGAAGAACGTACTAATATAACCATTAACGAAGAAGGATTTAGCAATCAAAGAAAAAATTACCGAAAAAAAGATGTGGACAAGTTTTGATAAATTTTATGGAATTTAGGAAATTATTATGTTAAGATATAAAGTAATTATAAACAAGAAAGTTGATGCATTGGAATAGAAAAAAAAGTTAAAAGTATGCTCATTGGAAAGGTGAGACATTCAACTTTCATTTGAGTGGTCGGTGATGTAATTATCTTAAGTGGTTGTCGAGAAATATAGAAAAAACGTCGTTTCTCTGTTGCGTAACGAACATTACGTAACTTTTGTTACATAAATCCTTAAGTATGGAACTTTTCGCAATTTTGTGCGTAAGTCGAAATTGTCGTAAGTCAAATTCAATAAAAGGAGGAAGAAGGTTTTAGCAATCAAAAACAAAATTACCAAAAAAAAATATGGACAAATTTTGATCAATTTTATGGGATTTAATAAATTATTATGTTAGAGTAATTATAAACAAGAAAGTTGATACATTGGAATAGGACAGAAAAAGTTAAAAGTAGGCTCATTGGAAAAACTGAAAAAAAAATGAAAAAAACAACGTTTCTCTGTTACGTAACGAACATTACGTAACTTTTGTTATGTAAATCCTTAAGGATGGAATTTTTCGCAATTTTGTACGTAAGTCGAAATTGTCGTATGTCGAATTCAATAAAAGGAGAAAGAAGGAGTTAGCAATCAAAGAGAAAATTACCAACAAAAAAATGTGGAGAAGTTTTTGGACAAATTTTGATAAATTTTATGGGATTTAAGAAATTATTATGTTAAAATATTAAGTAATTATAAACAATAAAGTTGATGCATTGGAATAGAAAAAAAAAGTTATATTTTAAGTTACTTCGATTTTTAAGTATAATTTGTTACAAAAATAATTGTAATAATTTATTATCAAATGAATAATATGGAAAAAATAGTCAGTTTCGTATTTATTTATGAAGTTTAAAGAAAATTTTGTAAATTCGTTTAATTTATTTGTTATGTAACAATTTTTGTACAATTTTTAAACAACACAATTATTTTACTAATTATTTAGACTAATTTCGTATCTAAAAGTTTTTGAAAACAGTAATGTTATATTCTACCTAAACTTCGATATATTTGAAAATAAATTTGTAAAACAGTAAAAATTTCTATAACGTGATCAGACTTTATATAAATCCAATTTATTCATACTCCGTTATATGAAAACCAAGAATACAAAGCTCATAGGAAAGTTAAATAATGAAAATTCTATTTAAAACATCTCAAAATCATGAAAAAGTATAGTTTTCTAATGGAATATAATCATTCAAAATAAACTTGAAGTAAAATAATTATACATTGTTATAATTGTATTGTATTGATTTATGAAACAAATTGGATTTACGTAATTCTAGTTTGTGTATATTTTTTAAGTAATATGTATTGTATTTTACAAAATGTGGATTAAACAAGTTATGTGTTTCAGTTTTCCTGAAGTTACTTTATATTAGGGTTTGAGTGCAATATGTATTGTACTTTACGTATTGTGAAATGAACAAGTTATGAGTATAATTTAAATTTCAATTATGAAATTCGAAAGCAAGCTTACGGTGAATAAGCTATAAACCTCGGGAACGTAATGATCTATAAATGTATAGTGTAAGTATACGAGTTTCCATAAGCAATGGACCCTTTGGTGTTACGTTGGAAGCCGTTAGAATTGAGTAGGCGCGATAATGAATTCACGTACCAGAACTATTAACCTAGGTTCGATGAAAATCGTAGTCGGAAAACCGCAACATTTTGGGAATCGCTGCCACCGAATGCATGCATATATATGTATATTGTTTTGTGTGTAGATGGAAAACCGGATGGTATCCGTAATTGCAGAGAGGCCGCGCAGAAATCAGCTCATCACGAAAGAGTAATAATCATAACCGTTACAAGTTTCCACCCTTAGAAACATTATGCAGTTGCAAACTCTAACACATTGCCCACACCTGCAGCTACGGCACTAACAATCGATCTACCCTCGAGCACGACCCTCACCAATTCGAAAACAATATCGCATCGCCGAGATTACCCAAACCCAAAACCGGAAACCTAAACAATTTGCCATCACCATTCCTCCACACCCAACAACGCAAAACTAAATCTTCTCTTTTCAACCCTCGGCTGCGTTTTATTCATTCCTCCTCTCCCCAAAAAAAATGAAAAAAAAAAGGACAACAACAATAACAAAAAGCTTTCGTATCGTGTTTTCCATATTTCCGGCAGCTCAATTTTTTTTTCAGTGTTTTTGTTTGCAAATTCGCAATCGAACCAATTTCGCGATCCGCATTCATTTTTACGGCGAACACACGATGGGGATGACTCTTAATTGAACACGCGCGATGCATTAATCTGCATTTGAATCAGTTTTCCCCCTCGTTCATCCCTCGCGGCTGCCCATTCGCATAGAGAGACCGCACTTCAATCGGAACACAACAAATTATTTACGATTGAAGAAAAGCATCCCCATTTTTTTTATCCATTTCATCTTTATTTTTCCATTTTTTAAAGCTTTTAATTAAACATTTTCCGGATGCCGAAACGTAGCGACGTTTCGAAGTTTATTACGACGTTTTGAATGGTAATTTATGGTTTTACTGCTGCAATAATAGTTTTATAACACTCCACACGAGGGCGTGCGTGTCATTCCTTTTTTTTGTTTCCCACGTTGTACAATACTTTTTTTTTGCTTTTCAGTTTCAGCGCGAATTTATCGCTTTCCGTAATTTATTAACGAATATTTTCGCCAATAGAATACAAAAAAATATTATATAATATTTATTTTATATAATATAGATGGGAAACTGGATAAGTTGATAAAGCGCGCGGATAAATTAATGTAAATGGAGTTGAAGTTGAAGATGAGTTGTAGTTGTGCGCGAGTTGCGATTTAATTGCGAAAAGTTTCCGGTCAGTAGTTCGGAACAAAAGTTGCAAAGGGCGCGCCTACTTCAGCGTTTTCCGACCTGCAGTAAAAGAAAATAAATTTTAAAAAAACGTTTCGATTTATTTTAATTAAATTTCCGACGACAACAGCAACAATAGGTGAGCATCGATTGATCTATTATAATGATGAAGGCCTTCCGCACGGTTTGCACTTCTTCCCTATTATTACTTTTTTTTTCTTTGCTCACTCTCGAAAAGGTCGATGGAAATCTTCGGCATTGTTCGTTCTAATTAACGGTGCACTTGCGTTCGGGATTCATGAGGGCGTTCAAAGGGCATCTGAAGTCGCCGGCGAATTTTTCCATGTTACGCAACGGACCCAGAACCCTTAGTTGCGCGATGGAACGATGCGTCTTCGGATTGGGTCGCATGGTATCCAGGGACCAGCATTCCGGCATTGCTGAGGATATCCAGAAGAATTGGCGAGGGTTGTACTGGAGGCCGGGAAGGTGAGGCTCGGTCTCGTGCCCTTCGGCCCAGGACAGGTATGCCTCGAAAGCCACTGTCTTTCCAAGGAGTAAAGCGAAATCGTCTTCTCTACTCAAGTTTGTATTTACCTAAAGAAAATACATAAAAATTCAATCATGATTTTCTTTCGTAAATTCTTATGAAAGTTATATGAACAGAGTTTTATTGAGATCGGTAAATGGAAGTGAAATAGAATAATTACCACTTATCTGCAGCGCGAAGAGGCTAAATTCGATCCGAAGATTCTTTTAAAATGAATTTTCGTTTATTACATACGTGTTTGCCGATTCCAGGCACGTTGAGTTGGCTGTATTGGCTCTCGATGCACTTGACTCTGTTCTCGTAATTGAGTAAACTCTGCGACGTTGACCATTCCCTTAAATTTCCATACAAATCGTACCGTCTCCCTTCGACGAATAAGTTCGATAACTCGTAAGCAATTAAACTGCCCAACGCTCCGAAGTTCATGTACTGCGGTCGGAACTCGTTGAAGAAAAGCCCTTGCAGATAATACGAGGGCAAAACTGTAAAATTTGTAAAACAATTTGTGTGAATTTTAATTTTTGTCAAAACTAATTACCTAAGGTGTTCTCTTTGATGGAGTAGATCAGGTTGTTGGCCTCGTCCTCGTGGACGGGTTCGATTAATCTCCTGTATTCCTTATTGAGATTCTGTAGGCTTACGTTCAGGTATCGGCCGAGGAAATCCCCGTCTTCGTCGACATCCGCACGCACCTGAAATTAATATTTGCGGTTGAAATATTGGTAAAGTTTTAATTCCGTTTTAACGAGATTCCCGAAATGAAAACACGTTATTAATATTTACTTCTAAACGTGGTCCTGTATGCTGCTGCTGCTGCTGATTCTTCCTGCGTATGGCTTCCTGGGTATAAGCTATGTAATCCCTGGAACTGGCCAATTTAGCTCTGGCCACTTGTCTGGCATCCGCGTCCAGCCAATCCAGATTCTCGAGCACTCTATTGTATTCCTTCTTCACGTACTTTATGATGTCCTTTATTTGCCTCTTGGCCTCGTCCGAGACATACCGCTGCACGTACGAAGTTTCAATTATCTCCGGTAGACTAGAAAGTATTAAACTTTGCAATATGTCAGTTGATTTAGTTTTTTTTTTCTTTTTTGGCTTTACGATTGTCTCGTTATATCCATGCAGTCCTCGCGGCGAGTCCGAGGCTTCTTTCCCGGATTGTGTTTATCCCTGATCCTCCTCAACTTATCCGGCAAGTAAGGCATCAGAGACTGTATCACGTGCCAAGCCATATAGTTCGCCACAACCCTTGAATTTTGTAAATCTTATTTCATAACATTTCTAAAATTTTATCTTTAATAAAATACAGATTAAGGGTAAATTTTATAGTTTTAGTTTTAAAGTATAGTTAACGTAAATGGATTCGTGTAATAAGATGTGATGTGATCAATAATAATAATAATGTGATTAAGAATGTACCTCTTCGGTGTCTTTTCGAGAAGCTCGTGGAAATCCCTGACGTACTCGAGATCGGAAAAGGTGACCGGCTCATCGTGGGTAACGGTTGTAGTGGGATAGAGGATGCCATTGACGTAATCGACCCAGGGAATTCCTGGGAAATCATATTGTACTTGAGCCAGCGTCCTGGGACCGCTCGGTCCTGCATATTTAACCCTGTTCAAGATCTACGATAGCCATTGTTTATAGTCGGATAATTGGCGCTCCGAGGACGAGCTCAAACCTTCTGCAATCTATCCTCGAACTCGGCGACCTCCTTAGACTCCCGTTCCGCTCTATTCCTATCACCGCCGAAGTAAACCGCAGTCTCCGTCATATAGTCCCTGTACGATCTTCCATGAATATCGCTCAAGAATTCGGACATTCCGCTGGAAATCTGAAGAAACATCCAGAGCAGATCACAAACAAAAGTAATACTTATTTTAATCCATTAATACAGTGGTTTCCAAACTTGATGTTACTACGCCTCCCTCAAATGTATGTAATCATTTGGCGCCTCCACATCACCCTCCAACTCATAAAAGGAACGCGTATAACAGCAATATGGATAAGAGCACAGGAATGTATCAATACTTGCTGGATTCCCCAAACATTCAGCTTTCATGTGCATATATTGGATTCATTCTATCTGTTATAGTTTTCGAGTAAATCAATGAAATGTGAAAACACTGCTTTTTCGAACGTTCTCATTTCAATTATTCAACTTTGAACGCGTATTACAGCAACATGGATTAGAGCACAGGAATGTATATATACTTGCTGGATTCCCCAAACATTCAGCTTTCATGTGCATAAATTGGATTTATTCCATCTATTATAGTTTTCGAGTAAATTAATTAAATGTGAAAACACTGCTTTTTCGAACGTTCTCATTTCAATTATTCAACTTTGAACGCGTTTTACAGCAATATGGATAAGAGCACAGGAATGTATCTATACTTGCTGGCTTCCCCAAACATTGAGATTTCATGTGCATATATTGGATTCATTCTATCTATTATAATTTTCGAGTAAATCAATCAAATGTAAAAACACTGCTTTTTCGAACGTTCTAATTTCAATTTTCAGCTTTGAATCTATACTTGCTGGATTCCCCAAACATTCAGCTTTCATATGCATATATTGGATTCATTCTATCTATTATAATTTTTGAGTAAATCAATCAAATGTGAAAACACTGCTTTTTCGAACGTTCTCATTTCAATTTTTCAACTTTGAACGCGTATTACAGCAATGTGGATAAGAGCACAGGAATGTATCTATACTTTAGCAGATATTTGGAAAATTGCTTACTCGAACTCCCCTTAGACTAGTCCACGCCTCCCCAGGGCGCGCCTCACAGTTTGGAAAACGCTGCATTAATAGGTATATTCATAATAGAATGTAATGTATAAAATATTAATATAATGTTGCATTAAAACCATAATGGGACATAAAATTTAAATTTGTATCAGACTTATCAACTATTTATGCATAGTGTAGTTGCGGTAATATTGAAATTATCACGCTCAAAAGTGACGTAACGTTTACGGTCCCTGAAGTGACATTGGCGTTGCGAATAGTAATAAACTCCTCTATTTGATTACAACACTACAACGATGAAATTCGACGAACAAGGGGAGGATAATAAGTTATGTGCTTCGTTATAGTATGTATATATATAATGTTGAATGTTGACATGTCACAAATAAGGGATGACTGTGTAAACAGCTTTAGTTGGTTGAGTACCTTGAGGATGTGTGCGGACGAGTCGTAAATATTGATATCGATTTGGATATGCAAGAAGGGCGTGAACTCGAATCCGATTTTCCTCAATTGATGTGTGGCCCGTTTCCAGTCGAAGAGGTTATCCCTCCAATCGCCTCGCTCCAGGAGCGGCCATCCGCCCATCTCCCGTAGCACGGATCTGATCCTCGCCAAATTGTCCTCCTCGATGGACGTTTCGTTGATGCACGACCGATAAAAACTTTTGACCTTGTGCAGCGGTTGCCATTTCGGTACGTCCCCTTCCTCGATCATCAGCCGGACCTGATTCAGTTTCGAGTTCTTCAGGAAACTCATCAGCGATTCGTTCTCATCGACGACGTCCTTATGGAAGTTGCCGCAGGTGAAACCGTAGAAGTTGTCGCAGGCTTGGACCGTTGTATCCAAATAAGTTAACATCTCGCTTGCAGATTTCACGCATTCTTTACTAGTGCAGGTCTCATAACTACCTGAAAAATTATACAATAATACAGTGTTACTATAATTATTATTTATATTTTCAATATCACGAAAATCTGATACGAAAGGTCGTTGGTTCAATTCCGAAAATCAATAAAAAATTTGTGGTGGCTGTTAAACCCGAAAGGGGTAGAAATAGGGCCGGAGAGATTTATATCAATAAATAAATTTCTATAAAAAAAAAATAATAAATCAATATAATTTTATTACTTTCGTATACATATGAAAAACGTCCATGAAACAATGAAAAATTCCTAATTCAATAAGTGATTGAAAATAAATATTTGATTCTTTATTCTTGATTTATTTCTATCAAGAACCAATTAAAAATTTAACTGAAAATACAGAATACAATAAATATCTATTAGATCACCAATTTATATCGTGTGAAATGAACAAAATTCAAGAATTAGGACAATTTGAACCAATTTGGATTTCTTTTCAAGTTTGTACTATAAATGTGAAATATACATCAACACTGTGCATTTCAATACTTTACAGTTTTATGTTTTTCCTATATTTATATCAAAAATCGCTTCAAAATCATGATGCCATAGGTTGTTGGAATCGCCTTAATCTTAGCTACATCACTCTCATAAAATACAAATAATACATGAAACTATTGAGAATCGAAAAATGCTGGTTTCTCTTATAGCTAAGTTACTAAATTTTCAGTTGAAAAGTCAATTTTCAGTAGATAAAATAGATACATTAGAACAGTGGTTTCCAAACTTGATGTTACTACGCCTCATTCAAAAGTATGTAACAATTTCGCGCCTCCCACCTCCCTCCATTTCATAAAAGGAACGCGTATTACAGCAATATGGATAAGAGCACAGGAATGTATTAATACTTGCTGGATTCCCCAAACATTCAGCTTTCATATGAATCTATTGGATTAATTCTGTCTATTATAGTTTTCGAGAAAATCAATGAAATGTGAAAGCACTGCTTTTATTTTCATTTTTTCGAATTTGAATTTGAATTACAGCTATATGGATAAAATCACAGTAATATATCGATACTTGCTAGATTCCCCAAACATTCAGCTTTCATATGCATCTATTGGATTAATTCTATCTATTATAGATTTTGAGAAAATCAATGAAATGTGAAAACACTGCTTTTATTTTCATTTTTTCAAATTTGAATTTGAATTACAGCTATATGGATAAAACCACAGTAATATATCGATACTTGCTGCATTCCCCAAACATTCAGCTTTTATATGCATATATTGGATTCATTATATCTATGATAGTTTTCGAGTAAATCAATGAAATGTGAAAACACTGCTTTTTTTGAACGTTCTAATTTCAATTTTTCAACTTTGAACGCGTATTACAGCAATATGGATAAGAGCACAGGAATGTATCTATACTTTAGCAGATATTTGGAAAATTGCTCACTGCTACTAATATTCGCGCGTCTCCTTAGACTAGTCCACGCGCCCCACAGTTTCGAAAACGCTGCATTAAAACTTGAAAGCATATTTTTTTTTTCATTAATTTGATTCTACGTAAGAATTTCCTTCGTACAGTTAAAATATGGTAGATCATTTGTTAAGTTTTGATTGTAAAGGAAGTAAGAGGAGGATAAAAAGAAGAAGTGTATCTTCTTTATTTTTCTTTATAACGTTGGAACCTAAATTGTAACTGTATTAGGTGGATAAGCATACCTGAGTATATTATGAATAGAGCCAGGAGGAGGCACAGGGCTCCGATGAGGGTGATTAACGTAAAAGTTGCGCACTTCTTGCCCATGAGTAAAAAATCCCCAGGTAGTTTCGCTTAAATAAATCTCCACTCCGCCGGGAACGATGAAGAGAGCGAAGCTCCGAAGCAGAACCAAATAAGGAATAAACACAGGAATAAATTCGTAAGAGAGATGCGCAAATGGAAAGTTCAAGTCGCGTAAAAATATCGTTTCATACTGAATTCAGCGAAACATCACCTAACATCTCCGCTTTTAATTGCCATCAATTGTGATCGTCGTAGGTGGACTTGGGTCAAGGCGTCGTTTGAGTCACGCAAGAGCCTTAATCAAGACCATCCGGCGGCCTCTCCGAAAAGGAGTTAATTGCCAGCAAGGCGGAAATTAACACGACTTGCGGATCCTACGACGACGACGACCTTCTCCACGGAGACCCATTAAATACCCGATTGAATACACATTTGAATAGACCCGGACCCACGGTTTACGCTCGTAATCTCGTTAGTGTAATTAGCCCCGATGTAAGCACATCGCATCCAAACCGAATCTGTTTATTTAAATACACATCCACACACACAACACACTTCCTCATTCCCTGGGAATCCCCTCATGAAGCCGCGCAATGAATAACATTCCCGCCCGGATTCCGAAATGCAGATCATTATCGACCCCGGATGTTTTATTCAATATCATAATCATCTCCCTCCGACACTCGTCTCGTCTCCACCTCAGCTCAGCTCAGCTCACCTCACCGCAATTTTTCATCCTTATTATTCTCCGGTATAGATTAAAAAATATCTTGCACCGTATTCCTCCCACAGGCGCAATTTAAATTTTCCGCATGTAAACGAAATCTCTTTTCAGACCGTCGAGGAAGAGCGCAGAAGGAACAAAAAAAACATACACTTTTCATGCGAGCCTCGTCTCGTTGTGAATCTATAAACCAACACCGCACAGCAACAACAACAAAAAAATAAGAGCAACAACAGTAAAAAAACGATTTATTTTCATCCTGTCGCAGGAAACTCGCATCACCTACGATGAACCTCCTCTAGTCAATTTTTTTTTATATACATTTTCCAATTGGTATGCAAATCTGCCGTAATTGCATTCGCCTCAGTTCATGTTCCACTATTTTTTTTTTCATCTTCATCCCATCTTTTCATCTCATCTCTTTGTTTTTTTTTTGTGTGTGGCGGATGTCCGAAGTTTCTATCGTAAGAGACGCAATAGAAAAGTTTCTTCTCGCTACTTTACGGTTATGGTATTTGAGTGGAAGTAGTTGATGTTTATATACGTTACATCTCTCTCTCTCTTTCTGTGTGCACTTTTCGAAAGTCATTCGTGGAGTTTATCCTTCTTGCGTCGAAGCCTCTCGGACCTTTAAAGACCGCTCGTAATTCCCAATAAAAGCGCAGATCAAGGAGGCATCATTTTCCAATTTCCCGCCGTTAAGCTGGGCGCGATGGTGATGGTGATGATGATATAAACATTGACTGGAGCTGTTTATTTCGGCGCCCGCAATAAGCAGTAAAATTATTATACATCGGGGAACAAAGTGCGACACGATTTTTATGGTATCGTTAAACAGATTTTACGAAAACTTAAGCAAGTATTAATATGAAATAAAAAATAAATCTTTCGTATAATTCCCAACAAATTATAATTAATTAATTATTAGTAAATGTTTGAAAACTTTATTCTAAAAGAGCAATAACTTATGTTTTCTTCGTTTCCTTGAAATTATCAGTTTTTAAATAAATTATTTGTAAAATATGTTTAAAAACTAAGTTAGAAGAAAATAAATATATGGATTTTAATGAAAAAGTTTAAAACTTTTCACTTTTGTATTTTCATTAGAACTTTATACATTCATAATTTGTCTTATGCATTAATAATTTCTGCCCTTTCAATCCTTAATTAATTTTCTAATTATAGAAGACTTAACGCAAAATTTAATAAAAAAAAATGTGAATTTTAACGAAATTTTCTTTTCTCGATAAAACTTTGTTCATTCATAAATTGTTTACTTTACATTCTTAGTTATTACGTAATAATTCGTAGCATTTTTCTTGGATATTTTAACAATTAGTAGAATTAGCTAAGAATTATATGAATTTTAACAAAATGTTAACATTTTACTTGAAACTTTCTTCATTATTAATTTGTTTTCTTTAGATTCTTAAAAGTTTTCAACTTTAACTTCATTACAATAATTATTTTTCGTAGTTAATTAATCACATTAATTCTAATGAAATATCATTGCTTCTCACATTTATATTTTAAGACTTATTTATTAAATATTTAGGGTCTTACAATTCCTAATTAATTTTCCAATTGTGGCAGACTTGTCACGAAACTTAATATAAAAAATACGCGAATTTTAACGAAATTTTCTTCTCTCGATAAAACTTTGTTCATTCATAATTTGTTTACTTTACATTCTTAGTTATTACGTAATAATTCGTAGATTTGATTTCAGTTGTATTTTTCTTGGATATTTTTTAACAATTAGTAGAATTAGCTAAGAATTATATGAATTCTAATAAAATGTTAACATTTTATTTAAAACTTTCTTCATTATTAATTTGTTATCTTTGAATTCTTAAAAGTTTTCAACTTTAACTTCATTACAATAATTATTTTTCGTAGTTAATTAATCACATAAATTCTAATGAAATATCATTGCTTCTCACATTTGTATTTTAATACTTATTTATTAATAATTCCTACAATTCGTAATTAATTTTCTAATTATGTAAAATTCTTATATTTTAATGTACTTTTCTTTACCAAAATAACTTTGTTCATTCATAATTTGCTTACTTTTGATTCTTAGTTATTACATGAGTTTTCAAGTATTTGAATTTGATTGATTTCAGTTGCATTTTCATTCACTTGATGTGTAATGTGAACAATTAGTGAAATTTCTCTTTGTATATTTAGAATTATATGAATTGGAATAAAATTTGTATTTTCTATTTTACTTAAAACTTTCTTCATTATGTACTTACTTTATTTGGATTCTTACGAGTTTTCAACTTAAACTTAATTATAATAATTTTTTTCCTAGTTAATTTTCTAATTATAAAAGACATAAAAATAAGTTAATAATCACATGAATTTTCAAAAAAAAATTTGCTTCGTTTTGTATTTTACCATGTAACAATTTTAACTTGATTTTATTCAAAATTAAATTATTTCAAGTAAAATTCTTACAAGTTATAATTAACAAGGTTAATATAATTTCATATGAAAATTTGTCGAGTTATGATCATATGTGATAATGGTTACCAGTTATATTTGGATTCATTCTCATAAAAAAAAATACAAGTTGAAATTAAGTTACAAACATGTGAATTTTAATGAAATGACAATGCTCGATGTTTGTTTTTTTTTTGTTATATGTGAATTTATTGGGTACTTGGCCGAAGATAGAGCAATATTTCAGAGGAGGAAAGGGTTGGGCGAAGTGAACCAATGCTAGTTTGATTAATAACTGCAATTGGTTATTATTTATCATCATGTACAAATTCGCAATTTATAGCACTTGCTCACTTTATGTTCCACCGAAAGTAATGAACCATAAATCCTCAACCATACACAGACATACACCTACATACTTTCATATATATACACAAACATAGAGACAGTACCTTTTTAAACTCTTCCGAGTTCCGAGCACCTCGACATTAAAACTATTGATATTTATTATCCGTTCCGCCCGTTTATCCACCCGCGCAGCAAAACTTATCCGATTACATTTGCGGCGCGCTTATTGAATGTTAAACGGAGAAAACGTTATTAATTTCGGTTTTCTCTTATTGTCGTTAAAGAGTTTAGGAGGTAAAAGATAAACTGGAAACGAGGTTCTTAAAGTCGCTTTTTTCGACGACGACGAGGATAATGGTCCTGGGAGAAATACTGCAGGAATCGCCTCGTTTTCTTTCTTTTCTTCTCTCTTTCTCTCTTCACCAGATGCAACCAGAAAAATCCATCGGCTACGTGTCCAGGAAACACAATCCTCCACGAAACCCATAACGCAATTCCCCACTTCACCTCATCAAATTCCCCGATAATGAACAGAACAGAAGCACTTCTCAGAAACAACATTAAGAAACGAACAGCACAAAAAAAATATAATATAAAGCTTAAAACTGATGGGATTTACTTGGGGAAAAGTATGTAAAGTTTAATGGGATTATAATATATATATTTCTCGCTGCTACCGGGAGTCAAAAATAAGTGGATATTGGCCCTTTCGGTCTACCCTTGAACTCTCCACTTCCCGGCATAGTAATTACTCGCGCGAATTTTTTCCTTCCTTCCTCCTCCACGCTCACTTTTTCCTTCTTTCCTTTTACCCGTTCTTTCTTTATTTTTTTTTTCATCGCCCATAAACGATTCAGCGAGCAAAATAATAGCCTCATTATATAACGAAAATTTCCGCCTAATTCATCTTCAAATTTCTTAACAACATCATTTTCTGATATTACGGGATTAAATTGGAAACGCCGGGTTTATCTCTCGCTCCGCACTTGGATATCAATCGATACTGCCGAATGGCCACAATTTTTTCCCCGAAAAAAAAATAATATAAGGAAAGTGTAACATTGACTTGGAGAGAAAAAAAAAGGGGGTTGAACGGAAAAGAGGTTTTTCCCATCGTATTTTTTTTCTTTATGTTTTGTGTGTGTTAGGCTTTATATATCCACGACGGAATTTAATATAAAATTCATTTTACGCGTGGAATTAAATTGCGTGTGGGCTCCAAAATCGAATACAAAAAAAGAGAGAACGTGTTGTGATGGGGGTGAAATGAATTAGAAATAAAAACGAAATATGATACAAATTATGTCCAGTTATTCAATTTAACTTAATCATTTATTTTCTTCATTTTGTAATTATTATAGTTTTTATATTTGATAAAATTATCATCCCTTAATAATTTAGCACAGATAGTACAAAAAAAATAACGATCCCCAAGAAAAGTTAGCAGGTGTTGAAGTATTATTTACCGATAATGCTTAATTTATGTAATAATTAGTGTTCCCAAAAACGTTTAAAATTGAAGTCTATAACTTCTAAACGGTCAGATAGATTTTGAAATAGAAAATATTTCCATCTGTTTCCATTGATTTTAGGTCTTCATTTTATTCTAATTCGCACAATTGTTCTCTTGTTACCTTTGTGAACATTTTTCTTTTCTCTCTCCCTTCTTTCATCCGCATTGTGGACGAAACTCATTTGAAT